CAATACCCTGCCCTTCGAAGGAACAAGACTAAAATCTCTGGAGAAAAGTGGGAAAGATATGGAGCATGACTCAAGATGTCATCCTGCCCTTCGGTGGTCATGCATCTGATACAGACCCTTAATCTGCATTATCCATGAAGGGAAGAAGAAACACTTCAGCCTCCTAATCATCGTCTTTTGCTTTGGTTTGGTTTGTGGGGTGGGGGGGAGGTGTTCTCAGTGCTCAGGGATCACTCCTGGTGGGGCTCAGGAGAGCAATAGCCGTACCAGGGATGGAGCTGGAGTAGTTGGGCTCGTGAGAGACAAGCCCCTTTTACCCCTGTTCTTATCTTTCCAACTCTCCCATCTTTATTCTTCACATGTGGTTCAACTACACACGTTGCGGGCTCCCACTACAGCCCCTCTGAGCCTGTTGCAAATATCACTATTATTTTGGACTACGAGACACTTACTTGCTCACTTTTCAGCTTTGGGAATGTGGCCATAGGATTCTGCTCCCTGGACTCTCTGGAATTGCATTGTGGAGCACTTCACTTGTTGGGGTGCAGAGAGAGGCAGGGCTGGCATTTCAAAGCCCACAATCAGTCCCGGGTACATCCCTGGCACAACTCAGCACTTGTCTGGTTGGGTGGTTGAACAAGATGCCACAGGGACACTGGCAATCCTGAACGTATCTCAGCACAACCGAGGGGAAAGGGGCTCATCTGCAAGGGAAACCACACTGGTGGCACGGGGAAGGTTAGAGTCACCTCCACAGGATGCCAGCCCCCTCCCCTGTCTCCCAGTGGGGCCCAAAGGCAGCAGAGTCCACAGCCTCAACAGAGCTCCGTGTCTGCATCAGTGCGTTATGTTATGTAGGAGAGACAGTAAGTGTCCCCATCCCACAACCAATTCACAGCATTGATGAAGGGACAATGACAGCAGCTGAGGATCAGCTTGTTAACCAAGATTTCTGCGAGTCATTTCAGTCGTGCTTCCTGAGCCTACTATAGTATTTGCGGGGGGCTGGAGGGAACCCACAAACAACTGTGTTCAGGGGACATTCCTGGCGATGTGCTCAGGGATCCCACTGGGAGCGCTGCGGGGACCTTATGTGGTGCCAAGGATCAAAGCGGGGTCACCCATGTGTGAGGTGAGTGCCTTACCCCCAAATTATCTCCCAGCTCCCGCCATAATACTTCTGATGAAAAGCAGAGATTTTTTGATTGATCCTTGAAGATTGTTCTTTCCACACTCCCACACCCAGTTCAGAATCCAGTCAAAAAGCAGCGCAGGGGCCAGGTAAGAGTACAGGGGTAAGGTGTGTGCTTTCGATGTGGTCAGTTCGAGCTCAATCTCTGCCTGGCACCAGGTGGCCCCCCAGGCACTACCAGGTCCATCCTTGGAGACCCCCAAACACTACTGGGTATAGCTCTAGAGGTCCCCGAGCCCTGCCTGACAGGCATAGGTGATTCCTAGCAGCACGGGACCAAACAGTGCCACATTCTCAGGCACCACGTTGAGGTGCCAGTATGGTTGGCTGAGAATCACCGGGAGGGTCCCCCATACCTCTGGTTCCCTGCATGGGTTGTTCCTCCCATGAGAGTTCAATTCCTGGCAAGCACCCCACACACTTGCTCTGACACGATCTTGGCAGCAGAGCTCTTTGGGGTCCCTGATGCCACAACATAAGTACCTCCAGGGCAGTGTACCACATCTGTACCAACACTACCATGAACTGCCATGGCCAAATTCGTGTGACCTCTGGTCAAAGCAGAAAAAAAAATGTGGGAGCTGCAGGAAGGAAAGGGGACAATTTAAGGGGGGAAAAATCAGGTTGGGGTGGATAAGCACCAGCATAGGTCCCATAATCAGAAAGACCCTGGTTTTGCTTAAACACTCTAAAGTCACCAGCTTGAATTCCTTGTTGTTTGGGGGTTTGGTTTGGAGTTTTAGGACACATCTTGTGGTGCTCAGAGACTACCTTGGCTCTGTGTTGATAGATAACTCCTGGGGGGACTTAGGGAACCATATATGGTGCTGGGGATCAAATTAGGATGAGCATGTGCAAGGCAGTTGCCTTATCCCTTGTCTTACATTTAGATATTTTGTGCCAAAGTCTTCAAACGCTGTTGCCAGTCCAGAAAGCAAGTCTTTGGAAGTAACAGTTTTCCCAGTCTCCCCCACCCCCACCCCGCCAAGATTTGTAAAGGAAAACGGGCCCTGCCATGTCCCTGCAAGACTCAAAGACCCCCTCATTCCTGAGAAGAGCAGAGATGGAGCCCTCAGACAATTGCTGTGACCTGTCCACACAGTTTCCTTCCCCATCAAGCAGACTGTGAAGACCCACTCTTCACTTTAAATCATAAAGAATGAACTGTATTGCAAACCATAATGCCCAAATCGGGGGGGTGGGGGGAAGAGAGAGAGAGAGAGAGAGAGTACTTGCCATAGAGGCAGGCTGGGGAGGGTGGCAAGAGGAAAACTGGGCAGGGACATTGGTGGTGGGAAATGTACACTGGTAAAGGGTTGGGTGTTGGAACATTGTAAGACAAGACTAAAACCAATCATGAACAACTTTGCAACTCTATCTCAGGGTGATTCAATTTTTAAAATTGAAGAAGATAACACCCAAAAGGACAGAGAGAGAAAGAGGGAATGTGCCTTTCACAGAGGCAGGGGGTGGGAAGGGGTGGGAGTGGGGGGAAGGATACTGGGAACATTGGTATTGGAGAATGGGCACTGGTGGAGAGATGGGTACTCGAACATTGTTTGAATGAAATGCAATCATGAAAGTTTGTAAGTCTGTAACTGTATCACACTGTGATTCATTAAAATAAATTTTTTAAAAATTTTTAAAAATTAAAAAGTAAAGAAAAAGAATAAACTGTAGAGGAAGGTGTTATGTATAAGCACAAATGCTCTGCTGGTAGATGCCGCCTCTATTTGTTTCAGAAATAGATGCTTCCCCATCAAGCACAATGGCTGGGAGGTGGTCCTGAGAGACTTGAACTATGTGATGTCATAAATATCCTTTAGCTGTGGCTTAGCAGACATCCTCATCTCCAGGCCTCCCATATTAGTCAGGATGCTTTGGGTCACCCCATTACAAATCCAACTCATATAAATACTTTTGGGGAAAGTGGTTACTTGTTGGTCAATAAAATTGCGAAGTGTGAAGATAAAGGCACAGATCAATCTCTCTCTCTCTCTCTCTCTCTAATACACACACACTCTCTCGCTCTCATTCTTTTATCTCTGTTTCATTCTGAACTCACATTCCCTTTGGGTAGTGGGTAAGATGGTCTCTAATAGCCCTCCTGAGTCTCTGCCTAGAAATCCAAACCCACCCACTATATCTCCTAACCATTAAGAGAAAGACTCATTCACTCACAACCCAGTTACAATTGCCAATGTGATGGGAGAAGGTGCCCATTAGAGGCAGAATGACAGAGCGCAAGCCTCATGGCTGAGATCCAGAGAGACCACATGAAACGAGGGATGCAAAGTTCTCCAAAGGAAATAGGACACTTGGTGTGGAGGCAGCACACTGAGCATGCTTGGGTGGCTGACTGTTCACCATCAATGCCAATAGAAAGAAGAGGAGAAGGCAACTAGGATGTGGAGACAGTAGTTCTTAAGCAACCTTCATTGAAGGATGGGAAATATGTGAAGTGTGTCACCAAAGAGAATTTTTCAAAGAAAAAGCAAAGATCTGAGAAGCAGTAGGAGTATTCTAGGGAGAATGACAGAGCAGACCTGGAGGGAATGTCTCTAAGTTGTTTGTCATGATGGAGTTGTTTTTGTTTTTGTTTTTGTTTTTTACTTTTTTGGTTGTGCTAGTGATTGTCCTTGGGACCAGTGGTCTTGGATGACCACATTAATGAACCCCTCTGTTCTGAAGGACAATTGGTCTGGTCAACTTTAGAAGCAAGTTTTCCATCATTTCACAGCACAGAGGAAATATTCCATCTATAGTCCTAATAGAAAGCTTCCTTTTCAAAATAACTTTAAGTGAAAATAAAGTAGAGAGTCTGGAGAGACAGTACGGGGAGTACGGGGGTTAAGGTACTTGTTTTGCATGGGTTGACCCGGATATGATTCCCAGAATCTCAGGGTCCTCCAAACGCCTCTGGAAGTCACCCTTGAGCACAGAGCTTGTAATAGGCCCATGCACTGCCAATTATGGCTCACCCAACCACCCAATAAATAAAAAGCAAAGTAGATCTGTGGGAAATAAAAAGTAGAAGAAAATAGTTGCTGTGAACAAATAAATATGTGTAATTATGCTAGTCATTAATCATAATTATGGGAAATGTGGGATTAGCATATAAACCACCACTCTTTCCTAGCAGTAAAACCCACTCACTATAGTCTTGTGATTCTATATTGTTAACTCTGATGAATCATATCTCTCACTGGTAGACCCATTCCTCAACCTTTTACTGACAGTGGCCTTGTTTCCTTCATGTGGCCCATGTCCTATCAGTTAGTCCCCTAGTTTCATGCCATGGTGCCCCATTTACATGATTTTCACCTTCAACCCCCTTGGGATATCCTAGAACATAGTTGAGAAACGCTGGAATGGGTGGCAAGTTTTAGCTCAGTCTGTCACATCAATCTATAATAAGACTCCAGGTCTCTGAGCTTCTGGCTGGCAATACTATTCCCTAAACACACTCATATCCCATGGCTAAAGGGGAGAACTATTGCTCCAGAACATTGGCCCACTGTATTACTCTCTGTTTCAGAGACAGACGCACAAAGGTAGGGTTGATCCTAGAGCTGACCAGGCTGATTGTCCTTGAGAACAGAGAGGTCCATTCTCCATGGTCACCCAAGGCCAGCTGCCCTGAGAAGTACCAGCCATCTCTTTGGGACAGAACTTTCCCAGCTGATTTCCACATGTGTCACGTGTACAGTGGCAGCTGGCCCCTCATTTAGCTGACTGCTTCCATTCATTCAGAGATCATTTAATAATGCCTATATTGTCCACTCACCTTTTCATTTATTTTCTCCAGGCCAAAGATTCAAGTCATCAGCATTTTGATGTGAAACGGGATGTCAAAACCCTGTACAAAGCCTGCAAAGGAATGGGTATGAAAGATATTGTGTTTTGTTATTTACTTTTGAAATTGATGAAACTTGAGTTTATGTCCAACTTTCCCATGCTCTTAGAAAGATGATTTGGTGTATTCCAAGAAAAGTCACTTACTTCCTAGGCTCTCTTTATAAAACATTTCAACGTTATAATCAGATTTTCTTACTCTTCACAATTCAATATAATCACTAGAAACAGGATAGCATGACAGTGAATTTGACCTTGAGGTGAACTCCATGAGATGTGTAAGTCCACACAATCACAATGTCATAGAAAGCCCTTATATGCTTTTCATGGGAGGTTGTGGGGAAGCAAATGAGAGAAGGGTTGGCTCTGGGATCTGGGAGTGACATCCAGATGTAAATGAAGTGAAGTTAAACCACGGCCCAGGTCATAGATCATGGGTCCAAACAGAAGAAAGACATCCAGGCCTACAGGTAAGAGCCTGCTAAGATTGAGAGACTAAGGTCAACAGTACAATACACCCAGTGAGAAGGAGAGAGAGAGAGAGAGAGAGAGAGAGAGAGAGAGAGAGAGAGAGAGAGAGAGAGTCAGTCTAAGACTAAGGCCCAGCAGAGGGGCTCTGGGATTTAAGAAGTCTCTGATGAAGCAAGATTCAGGTCCCTGAAGCCTGGAGGAGGATAGAAACCCAAACATAGACAGATCACCTTGTCTCCCATTCTCTGAGCACAGCTGGATTTCCAGGTGTGAGCTTTCTTCTACCACAACACCCATGAATGTACCTATTCCTGTTACCAACCTCTCCACGATTCCTCCCTCTCACTCCCACTCACTCCACATGCCACCAGCTTAAAGCCCTTGTAGCCAGCCCACCTCAGCCTCCAGCTGCTGTCTGTGATAGGTTAGGATTGAGAAGACCTGGCTCGTGCTATTAATAGCAGTTGGAGCCATGTGCACCCACGGATGTTTCACTTAATTCTTTTTTATTGTGATTTTTATCATTCACATAACATAAAACATTCTTTTGCAAAGCACAATACTGGGTTTTAGGATCTTCACAGCACTGTGCTACCATCACCTGTGATTTCAGAATATTCTCATCATCCAAAAGATGCTACTTCCCAACTTTATTCACATTACCACCCATTAGTTCCAGGCAATCATTAATCTACAGTCTGTCTCTAAGGATTTGTATATTCTGGACATTTCATATCAATATAAACCATGAAACATGTACCATTTGGTGTCTGAAGTTTTTCCGTTTGGCACGTATTAGCAAAATAACACTTACAACAACAAACACTAGACCTTTTACGTAGAAGTAAATTTGTGGGAATGTACTTTCCTAGGAATGAGTAGTATGGTTGTGCCAAAATGGCTATAAATTCTCTGTAACTCCAGAGGAAAGGGCTGAGATTCATGGTAGAAGTTCTAAGATGGAATTTACTTAATATAATAAATCCACTCAAGTGTAGCATACTTTTCCTGGTCTAGAAATGTTGGGGGGAGTCCTAAAGAATCTGGTGTTGGAGATCTGGTAGGAAAAGAGTCAAAAGTATTTCATCACAGTATATCTTGTGGGAAAAAAATGGGAGAGAACAGGAGAGAGAATGAGAGAAAGAGGAGAAGTAGACGGAAATGAATGATGACAACTAGGTTTCTTGGTTCTTTTGGTAGGGGGATCAGAGAAAAGGCTCGAGGGTTCTGATGATAGAGCTCCTTTCTCATCTTCTGATCTGGCCAACTTTGTATTTGGGCCACATAAAGCTGTAAGATGCCATGTTTACCTGGAAGCAGCAGGATGTTTATAGTTGAGTGGACCGAGTGGCTGGGTGAGTCTCCCAGGAGTTTCCCTGCTGTCCCTCAATGAGATCTTGACACCTGGAGGTGAGCTGGAGACAGGAGCTGAAGTGGGCATGGAATTTAGCTTCCAGTTAATGTACTTAACTTAACAGTTAATATATATTAACTGTTCTTGGCTCTATTAAGTTCAATTCAGCAAACACCGATGGAGGACCTACCACATGCCAAAGTGACACAATTCTCTTCCTTCTTTTGGGTTTGACCACAAAAAGCAAAGTGAACACTGGTTGCTGTTAAGATTACCCCTTTTGCAAGAACTGAGCCGGGTGCTACCCTCACACTATCTTGTTAAATACTTCCAACAATCCTTTAAAGCTGGATTATTATAATGACTTAACAGTTGTCAATGCTGAGGATTGGAAGTTAAACGTTTCGATTAAAGTCAAAGTTATGAAGGGAGGGTGGAGTTATTGGAAACTAAGGCCTATTGAAGAGCTATGGGAGTTTAGAATTCCAATTTCTATTAGAAAGAAATATTTCCTATTTCTATTAGAAAGTACGAGTCAGAGTAAAATAGTATCATTGGTCACACTTGTTTGCAAAATCCTGCAGCCATTCCACTGATCTATTCACTCTGTCAGGGCTGAAGTTAAGTATCTAAGGTCTCGTTCAATTGTCACTAGGGTGAGCCCAATAGGGAAATAAACACTTTTGAGAAGCCAACATTTATAAAGAGCAATAAAAGCAGGTATATTTACCTAATCATATGCTTTATTACCAGTATTAGTATCAAAGCTATCATTTAATTTAATTTATTTTTTTAATGTAGGAGTACTGCTATTTATTCAGCCACTGATTAGCTGATTGAATTGCGCATGAACTCCACCTTCCTTTTTTTTCATAGTTTTATTTACTTATTTATTTATTTTTCTTCTTATATTTATTTATTGAATCACTCTGGGAAAAGCCACTAAGCTTTCAGGTTTAAGTCTCGGTCATACAATGATCAAACACCTCTCCCTTCACCAGTACTCATTTTTCACCACCAAGAACCCCAATAAACCCCTTCCCAACCCTCCCAATGCCTGTGAGGAAGATGATTTCCACTTAACTCTTCTCTACATTGATTACATTCATTATTTCGACAAAAGATGCACCATTATTGTTTAGAATTCCCCCCCCCAACAATCAGAAATGCTAAAAAGGCATTGTGAAATATTTTGTTTTCTATAGCTGGTTATGAGAATCATGTAATGTTGCACGGCCGGTATTGTGGCCATGCAATTTTTGGATTTCTGCAAAGAGCCAGATAATTACAAGATTGGTTTCTGTGTGTCTGGTGTTATGGCTGTGCTGTAGAGCCACTCGTGGGGGGCAACTCATGACCTTGGTAGGGGGTGAAGGACGAGTTGGTACTGCTCCCCTTCCCATGAGACTGCAGTTGCCCCGTCACTGCCAGCTCATACCTGGCTTTCCTATAAGCTCTGAGGCAGCGGCCACCCTGCTGCTGGGGGAGGGGGAAGGTGGAAGGGAGCAACACCCTTTTTCTCCCAGGAAGGCATGGCATTGTAGTTTAATGCATGGTCCATTCACTTTTCTGCCGCAAAAGCTATCATTTTAATTGGCAACCTCCAGAAAAAATTATTGAGCTATTTTACATTCTCTTTTCTTAAACACTAAGTTTTCAAAATCAGGAGCTAGAGAGCTAGTACACTAGGGTGCTTCCTTGCATGAGGCAGATCCAGGTTTAATCCCCGGTATTCCATATGGGCCTCCTGAGTACCACCAAGAATGATTCCTAAGTGCAGAGCCAGGAGTAATCCCTGAGCATCACTGCATGCGAATCTCAAACCAAAACCACGGCAAACACAGTCTGATGAGAATGCTACACTTAAAGTACACTTAGACTTGGAGCAACCACACTTCAAATTCTTAGAAGCCACTCATGTGTGATGAGGGCTACCGTCTTGGAGCTAGAGTCCCCTTGCCTCCAGCAGTTTATGTATACTCCCCTCCCACCTCTGCAACACATCCTCATTACAATCAAACATAATTCCATACCATAGGGACAGAGAGATATTATAGCGGGTGCAACCAACACCAGGTCAATCCCTGGAACCAAGTGCTGTCTCCCAAGCACTGCTGGAAGCAACCCACTGTGCACAGAGTTGGGAATATCTTCCAGTATCACCAGGTGTGGCCCATTCTCCCCAAATAAATTTTTTTCTTAAAAAAAGAAAGGCAGACGGGGTTGGAGAGATAGCATAGCAGGTAGGGCGTTTGCCTTGCACGCGGCCAACCCGGGTTCGATTCCCAGCATCCCATATGGTCCCCTGAGCACCGCCAGGAGTGACTCCTGAGTGCAGAGCCAGGAGTAACCCCTGTGCATCGCCAGGTGTGACCCAAAAAGAAAAAAAAGGCAGAAGAGAAGATGTCCAGAGAGAAGCCATGTGAAGAGGCAGACACTGGGATACTGCTACCACTAGCCCCAAAATAGTAAGGGTTTCCAGGAGACACTAGAAGATGGGAAAGGCAAGAAGTAAACAACCCTCACCCCATCTCCACCCACTCTTGGCAGTGTGGACCCCAGGATGCTAGACTTCTTAGGGCCAGAATTGGGAGGAATAAACGCTGCTTTTTGAAATTACCTGTTTGTGAAATTACCTGTGGCCAAGGGATAGGACATGACCCGCCACACACACACACACACACACATGCGCACACACACACACACACACACACACACACACACACACACACACCAAATAGGCAGGATTCAACCCATTTGTTACTTCATCTATCTTCCCTTCATCCCCATTTCAGTTTGGGTGCTGCAAGGTGGGTCACTCCTTGCTCTGGGGGTCTCAAGGATCACTCCCAGAGTTGCTTCAGAGTCAGCTATGTGTGAGGCAAGCACGTGCCCTGTACTAGACACAGTCCCCTCCAGTCCCCCTTTCTCTAAGAGAAAGGGAGGTGCCAGGAAGCTTTGTGGTGTTAGCAGAGACTGGCTGTGGGCATCAAGACAGAGGCAGTTTCTGGCATTTGGAAGCTGCAGGAGACTTGGAGGAGGCCAAACTTAATACTTAATTTCTGTCTACATTCTTCTGTAGAAACACCCCCCCCCCCCACACACACACCCAATGGGAAGCAGCAGATACTTGAAACCCAACACACCCATCTTGCTGTAACCTGGTCTCTTAGGAAGTGGCTGGGAATGAAAGAGCTGGGATGC